TATTGATGAGAATAATAACCCCCTGCTTCCTTATCGAACTTCAACGAACACCAGGAAAGTTACCCATTTTTCGATGGAGCCCTACACGAGTTCCCCCGAAGACCTAACGCCAGTGACTTTTCATATGCTAGCCGATTGTAAATATGCTAGGTTGCAAGTCACTTCTGATGACGGCAAGTTTGGGATAAATCGCATAGATCGCAGGCCTGCTAATGCAGTCTGGAGTCATAAACCCATTTCTACCATGAGTGTGTTGCCGTTGGTTCCGAATTACCAGGGCGGTGCTAATACTGTCTTTCATTATCCTCAAAGCAGGGCACAGCCCGATGAGAAGGATAAGACTAACCCTTCACCTTCTTCAGGAGGACCACTCCAATAGCTACTACCAAGATCCAAATGTTATTTCCCACGAACTTCAACAGTTCCCCGCCGGTCCTAAGTACCAAGGAAACGACAGAACCCAGCAGCCCAGGAAGACCGGCTGCCATCTTTTTTCCCATGTCCTTTAAGCCAGAACCTACATTGCTTATACCCTTACCCATGACCTTAAGCGCAGATAGGACATATCCCAATACGCTTGAAACAGCAATCGCAAACGCCAGCGGCACGCTATACTTCAAAAGGGCTCTCTTTACCTTGGTCTTAGTGTCGATGCCAAGCTCTCTTTCCCCGGCAGCGATCCTTTCTTCTAAGTCCGCGAGTTGTTGTTGCTTAGTCGCTACTTCTCTGATTAGTTCATCCCTATTTGCCGCTGAGAGGAGTCCATCGTCGTTTTCGAGTCGTTGTCTCAATCCTTCGATGACCTGTCGTTGTTCTTCTGCCGTTGCCCTTTCTCGGAGTAAGYGATCATTTAATGTCACTCTTTCCTCACAAGTACGAGCATTTTCGTTATACAGTCGTTCTATGCTATCTATAGCCATCTTAGATTGCTCGTTAGCCGCTTCCAGGGCGGGCGTGATTTCCTTATTGTCGTGAGATAGCTTAGCGATTTCGTGGTTGGATTTCTGGTTTCTTTCGTAAAGGGTCCTCAAATCGGCGATCAACTTCGCATCCCTTTCGTTTATTTCCCTAATCTGGRATTGGTACTCTGCGAGCGTCTTTTCATGTTGGTCTTTTAACGCGTTAGTTTCCCTTGCTCTGCTAGTAGTCATTAGGCGAGTCTGTGCCATGTATTGGTCTTCTAATTCTTGCCTTTCCGCTTCCGAGTAATCTAGTTGTTCCTGAAGGCGCTGAATAGAAGCCATGAAATTACTCCTCTCAGCATTAAGTCGCTCATTTGAAGCTTCTGCGACTTTTCGCTTTGCATAGCTATCAGCCAACCTATCCTCCAGCCTATCCCTTTCATCCTTAACTTTGTTAAATTCATCGGTCTTCTCCGAGCGTTGAGCGTCAAGGTTTCGTGAGGTTTCCTCGAAGGCTGCCTTATCTTGCTCGCTAGCGTTGAGAGGGAGAGGATGATCCTTATGTCTAGCCGCAAGGTCATCGATTCTCTCAATTGCGTTCCTGATCTCAGCCAGCGTTTCGTCTATCGTAGTGAGGTCTTTCTCGGTATTGCTTATGTCTGGCAAGTCTGTGTTTGGTGTACCAGCGCCGGGGGTGTCTGGCGTGCTTGCGCCGGGGGTGTCTGGCACGTCTACTTCAGGTAGTCTGTCGTACCCCTTGGGTCCCATCGTCGACCTAAGTAAGACGCCGGCTTTGCCAGACCTGTTCTTCATCAGATCAAGGCTTCGTCGAATGAGGTTTTGATTGTTGTGTATCTGCAAGAGTGTATTTGGTGGTCCCAATGCTTCCCTGATCTCCTTAGGAAGGCCCTTATTGATCATCTTGGAGTCCTTAGCGTTGAACAGGGGGTACCATTTGTCACGCCCCTGATGTCTAACTTGCGTCCTGCCGGTCCTTGAGTCGCTGCGGACGTTAAGACGACCAATGTCTACGGAATGAAACAGTTCCCGGATGTCGTCCAGGAGCTGTGATTGAAGCTTGGCTTGAAGGCCAAGATCTTGCATTTCTATGTTCTCTGTAGGCAAGTCACCTCTAAGCGCACCGAACCTGGCGTTAAGACGTTGGATTTCAAGAAGATCTACTTCATTCGTAAGTGGGGCACCTTGCAGTGCACGAAGCCTGGTTTCGATTTCATGCATTTCAGCGATTTCTGATGGTAAGCCTTGCGTCTTTGGCATCGTTAAGTAGCCGGGAATCTTCTTACCTTGGCGCTTTGCCTCCTCGAATAGCTGTGCCTTGAATGACGGCGCCCGCTTACTACCAACCACGTTCCTTAATCTCTCATCGAACTCTTCTGGAGTCATATCAACGGGGAAATTGGTCCACCTATCCAGTTCTTCGCTAAAGTCCTGCTGGTTATCTTCACCAGTAGTAGGATCAAAATCACCTTCTCCTTCCATTATATATGATAAGCTCAAAGTTAAACCCCAACGTATTACCTAAGCAGGTTGGCGGGCTGAAAGCAGAACGCACCTTTCACCGGGTTACCTTTACCCGCAGCAGCGCAAAACCAGGAGAAACCTTGTACGTAGGCGTGCCCCGCCTAACGAAAAACCTAGTATTGGTGCCTGGTACGTTAGCTTTAAGATTTGACCTAGCGATACAACCAAGTACGAAAATAGAAACTTACGCAGTAAATAACGTAGGCAGGAACCTGGTGTCCAAAATGCGCATCAAGTTTGCTGGGGAGTCCTTAATAGACTTGAACAGGTACGATTTGTACACCACGTACAAAGACTTATGGTTAACGGCCTTTGACCGTGCGCAAAGGATAGAGCAGGGAATTGGTAGTGTTATCCTTCGTAACGTCCGCAGTGATACTAAGACGCAGCCTACCGACTCCGGTGATGCAACAGCAGTAGCAGATGCGAAGCGAATAAAGACGGCTTATGGCATTAAGTATGTCATACCACTGGACTTTGAAGTGATTACGAACCATGGTGTGTATTACCCAAGGCAGCTAAGCGAACTACAGTTCGAAGTAACCATGGCTGATACGACTAATATCCTAGAGATGGATGCGTCTGGGACGGCACTTACTGGACGTATTCATCCCTACTCCGTCACCAACTTAGAGCTCCAGTATGAGACGGTATACAGTGAGGAGTTGGCCAGCAGCGCCGGCATGGAATATAACGCCGGTAAGGCAATCCTATACGACCACGTAGTAATGTACAAGACACTTAGCTTCCTGGATAAGACGGACGAGGTTATCAACCAAAGCATTAACCTTCCCCGAAGAAGTCTCACGGGGTTGATGCTGGTGTTCGCCAAGCCCTACGAGGCCGGTAAGCGTGACAGCGAGGCGTTCTTTAACCCCAACATTACGAACGTAGGGGTAAATATCAACGGAGTACCTAACAAGGTCTACTCCCAGGGAATAAAGCCTGCAGACGTGTTCAGGGAGGCAATGCGGAAGTTTGGTGATCAAATTAGTCCTGAGGAATTCTTTAAGGATAAGTACGCGTTATGGACTGACATGCGCACTACCAACGACGAAACCATGCACGGTCAGGTCCTTCGGCTGGTCAACACCCAGGATGGTATCACTTTGGAGATCAAGCGCACAAAGAATGCCGATGCGGCCGACGGCGACAAGATAAACTGCTACATCTTCGTTGTGTCTGACGCGCAGCTCAGCGTTGAAATGAACCAATTGAGAAGCGTTGCATATTGAAACATAAAAATATCTGCTTGATATACCATGTTACGAGTCTTCGAAAACAACGATACCAAACTGCAATGCATAGCGCAGGGCGACAAGCTGTACTTTAAAGCGAAGGAAGTAGCAGCTGCGTTGGGCTGCGAGCGTCCAAAGGATGCTATTAAGGTGCACGTTCGCAATAAGTACAAGGTAAAGCTTAGCGAAATTAAAGTGGAGGTGAATCGCCTCCCCTCTCATTCACAGCCTAATTCCCTGTACGTAACTGAATCTGGGTTGTATCAATTGATATTTAGCTCTAAGATGTTAACGGCAGAGGCATTCCAGGATTGGGTGCTCGGCGCAGTTCTCCCCGCACTTCGTAAGACAGGCAAGTATGAAATAGAAAGACGCTTCAATAGTCCAAATAAGTTAGTATTCAAAATAGAGAATGAGTTTGATCTGCACAAGAAAGTCGTCGATTACGTAAGGAAATACTTCCCTACTATGTTGGTGGTTGCCGGGCTCGGTGAGATGCAGGACACTTCGGATAAAAGAATCAAATACTGGCAGAAAGGATATCAGAAAGGGCAGCCAGACCTGATGATTCTTAATGCCCATAAAAAATACAATGGCTTCTGCTTAGAATTGAAGACGCCTAAAGAAAATGCGATATTATCCGACGCACCAAGAAAGGCCTTAGACAACTACGAAGAAAACGGGTTCAAAGTGTCTGTTAGCAATGATTACGACGAGATCTGCAGAGACATCATAGAATATTCCCAAGGTATTCGTCTGCCGTGTAAGTACTGCTGCAAGAGATTCAAGTCCGAGGAGACTTTGGAGATGCATTTAAAGATATTCCATAGAATATATGACGTTTAACGTTGTAAAGCAGATACATTGGCGAGACTTAAAGGAGGGTGAGACATATGAAATAAAAAACTACGTAGCCTTCGAAGATGTCGATAGGCTACGGTTGCTGCTGTCCCACAAAGAAGTCAAGTACAGCCTGTGGGCGCCGGATCGCGTCCGCTACGTGATAGAGGGGCAGGAGTTTACGCATCTGAGGTCGTATGGTAAGAAGGATGGTCGTTGGGCCTTTGACGTCGCAAAGTGTGTCCTTCCTTCGCCCCTATGTAGTTAGGCGCATTCAAAGTAGGGTCGTCGGCAGTCGTATCTCTGCTCGGCGACTCTTTTTTAACGATGCAGTCTGCAGGGGGTTCACATGTAATACAGTCCATATATACTTAGGGAGACTATCATATATCCATCCAGAATGTTAAATGGTGGTTAAGACTTTGTTAAGGAAGGTCGGAAACTATCTCAGAAACCATCCCAGAATGTTAAGATGTGGTTAAGACTTTGTTAAGAGACAGTTGAATATGTGCTCCTCCTCTCTCACACATCCACATCTCTCACACTGCTGCCTCCAATATTCCCTGTTAGTCCATGGGACGCCTTCTAATGCGTCAAAGCGGGGTAGCGTCCTACTTATCTTCATGAAGTAGTCTATTCGATTCCTTAGGTAATCATCTTTATGCTCACAACGACTCATGAGATCCCCGCATTGGTAGCAATCCACTCCTTCCAGGTTGTACTTCTCTGCAAAGTATTGGTATCTTTCCTCGTGTTTCTTCTTATGCGTTTGAAGACGCTGACGACTACTAAGAACCTTACCACAGTAACTACATTCTGTTGTCCTACGGCAAATGCCCTTCTTCACATGTTGCTGTAGTTCCTGCAAGGTACTGAATTCCTTATTACAGTCCTCACAAACCCTACTGGTGGGCTTCTTCATACAAACGCTATTGTTGACGTGGTATTGCAGTCTTTGCCTGGTACTAAATACCTTCTTACATTTTAAGCAGTCCATATATACTTAACAATATTTTAACCTCCATTTAACATTCTGAGGGATCTTTTGGCGGAGTTTTGACGGTAACCTTAAAAAGATCTTAACCACATCTTAACATTCTAGGAGGGTTTCTGAGATAGTTTCCGACCTTCCTTAACAATAGTTCAACCACATCTTAACATTCTACCGGGGATACCTCATAAAGTCCACAACTGACTCCTTAGCCCACGTTGCCATAGTTATCAAAGCGCCAAACCGCTCTGCTCGCTTCAGACCGCACATTTCCTCTTATAGCTCCTTTACGCGTTCATTTAGTCGGTCTACCTCCTCCCTTTGCATCTCTACGGTTCTTTCCAGATCTGACTTCCTTTTGACGACGTTAACCATTGCTTTGACTGCTTCCACGGGCTCCATATATATGAAAGGGAATCCTATAGGATGAACCCAGATCACATGCCTTGTAACGCTCTGATCGTAGGGCCTACCGGCTGCGGAAAGACCCAGTTCGTCTTAGAGCAGCTATTAGGACCCTTTAGATACCGATTTGACTACATAGTGCTGCTTTGCCCCACCTACGTGAACAACCGCACCTGGACGGGCATAGGAGCAAAAGATGACGAATTCTTTGTAGATATCTTAGACCCCAATGAGTTATCTGGACATCTTAAGTTTTGGCATAGGCAATTCCCTAAGGATACTCAGACACTCCTCATACTGGATGACATTGCCTGCGGGGACGACGTAAAAAGACGCACGTCGGAGCTCGTAAAGCTTGCTTTCAGCGGCAGACACGACAATATCAGCGTTTGGTTGCTCTCGCAGCAGCTTACCAGTGTCTCTAAGCCCTTCAGGGAAAACATAGGCTCCCTGGTTGTCTTCTACACGCCAAGTAAGAGTGATCTGGAAACCATCTTAAGCGACTACGGCGGTGAGATATCCAAGGAACAGCTATTCGAATACATGCGGCATTTAAAGACGCACGAGTACTCCTGCCTGGTCTTTTCTTTGAGGTTTCCGTATGACGTTAACATATATGGAGATTGAGCAGCTCATAGATGAAGTTAGACGAAAGTAACCTTAAGGAACAACTTAACATCCTGGTGTCTTCTGGGAAGTGCAAAGAAATGATAGGATGCCAACCTACCCATGCGCAAGTTAATAAGTTGTCAGAAGAGGAAGTAAAGAAGTTCCATAAGAGGTATGAGGCTGCCCTTGCCAGTAAGACCACGGACGCCGTAGCAGACTCCGCTATCCGACTTGCCACTAAATTGCTTGGACTTGCGCTGCCCATAGACGACGTAGAGCAACTACAGAAGGACATAAGAGATGACTATGTCATCGCTCAAGAACTTAAGATAACCTGTGGGTGGTTGTCTTTGAAGTGCGGTAAGTTAATGGCAGTCGCCTCTTCGGCACTTCACGTCGCTCAGCATGTCGACTTGAAGGAACTTACGACGTCTTGGAAGGACTTTAAGAAGGACAGAGAAGTCGAAAGGATATTTACGGCAGCACTTACCGAGGAACCTAATCAAGTACCTAATTAAGTCATCCGCGGGAGTTACCCAGGTGGCCTCAAGTACTTAGTCAAGTCGTCCTTAATTACTTACCCAGGTCACCTTAAGTTACCTGTCAAGTGTTTCAAGTCCTTAGTACAAATGAGTGAAGCGTCAAAGACAGAGAAGCAACCTCAGGAGAAGAAAAAGATCACCAAGGCTAAGTCCCCAGGCAGAGTTGCGGCGGGGAAGAAGCTCGCAGAGATGAACAGGAAGAACAAAGTAAAGAAAGAGGAAAAGGTAGAGGAAAAGGAGGAGGGATCCTCCATCAATCTGGGCTACGTCATTGGCGCATTAGGAGTCGTCATAGCCGCATGCAGCCTCTACTTACAATGGAAGGCTGCAAAGCCAGAAGTAAAGTGGGAGGCCGTGCACGTGGCGCAGGAGCCCCATAAGAGAAGCAAAATACCCGTGATGGAATAACCTTCTCGCTTTGTAATATAATGTCAACCGCGTTATTGAAAACTGTTGAAGAGGCAGCTATCATTACTTCCATTGTTGCGGGTATTGGTTGGGTAGGTAAGAAAGTGCTCAAAGAARACTTTACTGAAGACCCAAGCAAGAGCTTCGCTAATTTTGCTAAAATGACAGTTGCCATAGGTGGAGCTATTATGGTAAAGGACTACTTACAGAAGGAAAAGTACCTGCCTAACATATAAATGGTTAGATTGGTTGCAGCTGGAGTCGTCGCAGCTTTAGCATTCACTGGAGCTAATTATGGTGGTCAGTACTTGGATAGATTAGTCAGAGGTGATCAAAATGGTGCCGCTGAGAGGAAATGACACGATTTGGCGCTGGAAAAGTATCAAAGGGACGTGGCGGCTTGGAATGAAAAAAGACAAGCTTACAGGGATTGGTTGGATAAGAACTACCAAGACAAGATGCAGGCCGATAAGAACTTTGAAAATACGGACTATGCCTTCAAGCTCTATGCACAGGCGCATCCTGACTTTAGAATGAGAAAGCCCCAGTTTAAGAATTACTACCAGCCTTCTAAAAAACAAAAAGACAATGAGCTGGTATTTGTAGGAGTCGCAGGGCTGGCGGGAGGCGTAGATTTGGCGTATTTCGTCTAATATAATGATCGTCTTTTTGGAAAGCAACAAGAATGACTTTACCACTTACTTGAATCCCCCCATTAAAGCCTATAAGGTTCGGTTGCTTGGTTGCCCTTTGTACAATTCTTGGTATAATTTGATAGGCGGCTTTGTCGTTGTGGGTGCCAACAAACCAAAAATACCAGATTCCCATTACACCCCTATAACGCAGGCTAAGGAGCTAGCAAAGCATGGATATACTCTTACCACAGGCCTACCCCATGAAATGACGTTTAAAAAGAATAATGGCAGCGCCAATCTTACGGGCAGTCCGTTGGTAGGATTCCTGGACCTTACTAGTACGACGATCAATGGTCAACTTGACGTAACTACGAAGTTCACTGCAGCCTAGTAAGATCATACTTTAATGAAGGACCCAGTAATCTAATGTCCAAGCTTCCACCTAAGGGTAATCCATTTGACCTGGTAGAATACGCTCCCATCTCTTTGAGCTATGACTTGCCTTGTGAATTGGTAGAAAGCATAAACATCACTATCAAAGAGGACGGAGAGACGGTGGATTTCAACGGGCGAAAGATCAATCTCGTCTTGGAATTCATATAATGGGTCGAACTGAGGACAAACTCAAGAGGATTTACTATGGACCTGAAGGCTATTGGAGAGGAGTGTCGGCTATCAAGAAACTTGCAGCTGCGGCCAGGGTATCAGAAGAACTGGCCAAGAACTGGTTAAAAAAACAAACCCTCTGGCAGATCTTCTCGTACCCAAGTACATTCCCAGGCCCAGCTTCACCGTAAACGCCCCCGATGAAGTTCATCAGGCGGACTTGCTTTTCTTACCGCACGACAAGGTGAGAAAAAAGACCTATAGATACGCTTTGACCGTAGTCGATATCGCAAGCAGATACAAGGACGCCGAACCCATAACCAGCAAGGATTCTGGGGAAGTCGCAGAAGCCCTNGATATCGCAAGCAGATACAAGGACGCCGAACCCATAACCAGCAAGGATTCTGGGGAAGTCGCAGAAGCCCTGGGTAGGATTTATAAGCGCGCTTTGAAATGGCGCAAGCTGCTGCAAGTGGATGTGGGTACAGAGTTCATGGGCGTGGTCACCGAGACCCTGAAAGACCACAGCACCAATATTAGGAGAGTTGAAGCAGAGTACCACAGGGGTCAGAGCATCGTCGAAAGATTCAATAAGACCCTGGCCGAGCGTCTCTTCGGGTATCAGTATTGGAAAGAGCTGGAAGATCCCTCCAAACGCAACAGGGAAGGACCCAGAGGCTCCCTCAGGTCATCGTGGCTTTAAACAACGAGTCGGCCAGGGCTACGGGAATAAAACCCAAGGATGCCATAAAAAAGAAACACGTGGAACACAAGTCCTACGTCAGAAGTTCAAGGGCGGTCTTCCCCCAGGAAAAGAAAATAGGTAATGTCACGGTTCGATATCTCTACGAGCCAGGTGAATAAGAAGGAGGATCCAAATGAGCTACGGATCCTAATTGGTCTTTGGAAACTTATCAGATCCGAAGTGCGATAGCTAAGAAGGGTCAGCCCATCTTGTATTATCTTCATGATGGTCCCACGCGTGGGTTGGTCAAAGAAGAACTGCTTATCGTGTGATGTCCGAATGCCATAGTATGGATGCCATCATCACACATCCACCTCTTACCATCAAATGCGGACAGGGACACCTTCTCTTGCGTAACGCTGTGTATGTGATGTCCGTAGTTTTCAAAGTCATTCTTGGCGGCGGTGCGCTTCTGGGTGTTAGAGGCTATGTAGGGCTGCATCCAGGGCTTTTGCGTGAACTTTAGCACGCGGTGGATCTTCTTTACGCGCATGCCGTGGCGCACGTAAAACTGTAGGTTGCGGTAATGGACAACGTACTTACGCTTGTCCATCAGGTTCATCGTTAGCTTCCTGTAGGGCTTGTAATTGGGACACATCTGCTGCTGCAGTGGGCTTAGCTGCGCAGAGGGTATCTCTATTGCTTCTGGGGCTAGGGGAAACTCGTCGTGTGCGTCGTGCAGGTGCTCTGGGTACTCCAAATCCACCTCCAGCACGTAACCCTTATCTGATTCTTTGTCTACGCCTAGGTAGAAGTCGATCGGCTTCACTTCATCCCATTCGAAATCTCTTACGGGTAAGTACTACGACATTGCCCAACCGTAGAGGTTGTTTGCGTCTAAGTAGAAGATGTAGGTGGTTGGTTTCTCCGGGTCGTACTCCACTGCAGGATTGTTTGCCCTCGCGAATCGTCTGCTGGGTCCGCAAACGCCGCCTCGGATACCGTCTTCCATGAAGCGGTACATGTCGTACTCGGTCAGGAGATGCAGTTGCTCGTTTGTCTTCTTTAACAGCGCGCTCCAACTAAGCCCGGGTGCGGTGTAAAAGTTCGCGGGATCCAGGTCGTAGTACTCCATGGCCATCTTTCGAAAGCTTTGAAAGACGTCCGCTAGTAGGACGACGTCGGAGCGTAGGTAGATGACGTGGTAGTTGCCCCTCGTACGGCATCCGTACTTCTGCCACACGTCTAACGCATGCTGGTACTCTTCGTCCTTTATACCGGACTCTGTTAAGGTGCTGTAGACTCTCTCTTTTGATGGTAGTGGCTCCTCAAAGCGTTCCCAGGAATCCATGTACTCGTATGGGTACACGCCCTTGCGTTCTGCGCCGTATTGCGATGATATTGGAAAATCAGTATTATATTTAACACGGTTCACTAAGGAGTCCGCCATAAACTGCTGTGAATCTAAGAACTTTAGCTTGCCTACAGTTACGGACATGTACCTTTCTTTGTTGTTTGGTATGCATTTGACGTCGGAACCGTCCGTGCCCTGAAGGAGGAGGTGAGAATCGTAGCCGCGGAGGTTGTGGAAGAATACGGGGATCTCCATCTCTGGGTCTACGTGCGTCCTACATCTCCAGTGGGCGGCTCCAACGTAGGCGCCTGTTACGGAGCAGTAGTCTAACACCTTGTCCATGTAGAAATCCTCTACTAATCTTTTATGACAGTGAATGCAGTGTGTTGATGGTTTACCGGGCTTCTCTCCTTTCTTTGCGTAGGTACCGCATTTAAAGTGTGCTTCCCCAAGGTACTTGCCCTCGTCATCCCACGCTTCTAAATGTATGCGTCGGCAGCGGGTATTACCCGCGCGACGACTCCCTTACTGCTGCTGTGTTTGCGAAATCTATGTATTAAGTTAAAATATTTGTGTCGCAAGCGAAGGTTAAAATATTTCCTAGATATAGATGGACAACATTGCGCGCATTCAAAACAAAACTGTACGCAAGCTGCAAACCCAGGTATTGGATCGTTTGGACGCCGACTTCGCCTTCACGACATTCACAGAAGGGGACACAGAAGAAATCATGGATGAAGAAAGAGCCGAAAAGATAATAGACCTGATGCCTGAAGGTAACTACCGTTTACAGTTAACGTTTATAAAGTATTACGACGGCGACTGGGTAATAGAAAGAGGCCGTAACCCTATTCGGGCGTCTGGTAAGCAAGACGCCCAAGGTACTTGCCCTCGTCATCCCACGCTTTCTTTGCTTGCCTACCGTATTGTAGGAGGTCGCGGTCGCATATGTGACAAACCTTAGCGTTTGCGTTCGCGGCTTGGCTTTCTTTGTCGAATGCCACCTTCTTCTTGCGGCGCAGGCGCTCTCTTATTAGAGAGTTTTAGATTGACTTATTTTCTCCCCGCACACGGCAAACGTGACCACGTTTTCATCGTTTTTCTGTATTTTACTTTACCTTTTACGAACCTTCTAACCAAAGACAAATATTCTTTTGTTTTTCTACTACTTGGACTTTTTTGCGATTCTTTTTAAGCTATTTGAAATAATTTTAAAATGGTCAACTGACGTTTCACGTTTGCCGTGAACCTAAATCTAAAACTCTCTATTACTTCCTCCTCATCCTGTAAGGCTTCTAAGAACTTGTTTGCTGCGTTCTTGCCACGATAGATGACTGGTGCGTCTGCTTTGCCGTCGTGTCTGACGACTATGTAACCGTAGGAGCAAATCTCATGCAATCCCAGTCGCTTAGTTGCTCCATTCTCTTGGTTCTCCTTTGTGATTATTGACTCAAAGTCCGCGTAAATCACGTAAGGCACCTTAGTTTGTCTTTTGAAGTCCTCGTATGATAACTCCTTCTCCGCGGGCATTTGGATGCGCTGTGCGACCTTCTCGACACCTCGACAGACCTCATCGTGTGCTCTCAGGGCTTTTGGGGGAGGTAAATGATAGTAAGCAGCAGTCGCAGAAGTACTTCTTTCCCTTGTGCTTCGTGTGTCTGTAGAATAGTCTATTCAAGTGCTTGATCCACGAGTAATGCCCTCCGTGGTAGAATAGATGTATGCGCTCTCCTTGGGACTTTGACAACACCAGCGGCACTATCGTCTGCTCTCTGACTCCGTAAACGTTAATTGCTAGGTCGTTCTTCTCCTCGAATATGGGAATGTCAATCAACTGCATCGGGAACGCCACACCGTCCCACTCTAAGTCGTCGTCGGGGTAATTACTTGTTCTGCATGGATTGCTCTCTACTGGGTACGACGCGGACCAGCAGCAGTAAGGGGGACTCGCGGAATCCAAATCGCCAAGCATCGAATTTCACGGGTATTACCCGCGTTTCAGGCCCCTCTAAATGTATGCGTCGGCAGCGGGTATTACCCGCGCGACGATTCCCTTACTGCTGCTGTGTTTGCGAAATCTATGTATTAAGTTA